AACTCATCTGGGACGTATACAACTCACCAGCACGGGACTAGTCGTATCGCTACTCCAGTTTCACGACTCTGAGGAAGAGGACAACGGCATCCATGCTACGGTGGGGCGGTGGAAGGGGCGGCGGCTGCTGCCACTGAGAGTCCCACAGGTCCTGTGTTATTGGAGTGCCCAGAGGTTCCGTCACCAACTCGACGTGATGCGAGATCTCTATCACCGTGTACAGATGGATACCGTGGAACGTCATGGTGAGAATCATTGCCTCATCGCCTTGCCATGCAGCGCGGGTTCACACCGTCAGAGGTCCGAACTGGTAGCTTCTTCAACACTATGGAGGGTCGCTTATTGGATGCGTGGAGTGACGAGCCGGCTGATGTGAAGTGAGAAATCTGATGGTAGAGCAACCTCGTCAAGTCTTTATCAGAACATTAACGGAGTTCTCCACCAGAGCCTCATTAAACAAGGAGATCGAACAACTGAAGGGTTCAATCGACAACACGCCTGCTACCAACAATACTCGTCGCAGAAGATCAACGGTGAGATCCTCAAACGTCTAAAGAGGGACTTGCGTATTCCTATGCAGCTCCTACACAGTGTCACGGGGACGACGCAAGCTATAGTGCTATCGTCGCCTGAGGGAGGGAAGGAACCTCCTGCTGCGGTCTGTTCCCCGGGTCATTTAGGAGTTGCCGATTCTCTGTGGTTCAGGCTGTTAGCGCACCGACGGCCAGAAGAGCGTCTCAACAGTCGCCAGAATATAAGAATCTTATGAGGAAAAATGAGGAGTTGAAGGCATTGAAGGCGTCGTTGGAGGAAGAGAACAGACACTTGCGAGAGGTATCTCTACTGTGGCTGTAAGCTGTGGTCCATCTCGACATTGGCTTAGTTACTATCACTGAAAACCACGTCGTCACAGTCTCCGCATGAGCAGCCCCTAGCAGCACCCGAAACGTTGCCACGCTCGAACAGTTGGACCGACATGGCAGTCTCTCCTGAGAAGACCAGCTCACACACAGTCTTGGCAGACGTGGCAATTTCAAGGTTGTTGCCGACCTTACTTGGTGGAGTACCCCAGTCTGTACATCCTCCAGTAGAGGAGCATCCGAAGACTACAAGTGGCGAACTATTGGTACCACCATCAGCGTCGAACGCCGGGCCGCCCTCGCGATACAGTAAGTCATAGCTTGCTGAGTGAGAGCGTGATCATCGTGCTCAGGAACCAAGCTTAATAGCAGATCTCTCGAGTTACCAACGAAGGATGTCCAAAGTCGAGGACCTCCCTCTGGCCTTCCGCCTCCAACGCAAATGACGAGGCTCTCGTCCCAAACGCTATTCTCGTCGAGCTCCTCGCCGAATTTGTTCGGAAGTAAAACCGTTAGAAGTGGCGTGCCACAGCCGGCAGTGGAAAGCCGTCCTCCGACTGCTGAGGGAAAAAAGCACGAGCCCCGCTTAGTGTCAGTACAAGTGCATCCCGTGGGCTTGGTCCCACGGGGCATAAGGTCTCAGAGAGAGGTATTGGCAGTTGACTGGAGGTCCCGAGGGCTGAGGTCACCTTAGGTATCATTGGCCTCTTTCGGGCAATTGGTGAACTCCCTCTTCGGTGGTCCAGCACAAGCCATGGCTTATTTCGATCCTCGCAGACGAGGATATGTAGGGCATTCAGTTTTTTCTCCGAAGAATGATCGCCGTGTACTTGTATAGGTAAAGTATTCTGATTTCGCACGCCTGTTGGCGGCTGCGACGAAGCGAGACTGGATAATGACTCCCAGGGGTGAGTTGTATTGCATCGATAAAGCGTTCAGTCGAAACCTCCTACAGGACGAGGGCATGCCGCCCTTGATACTCTATTTGGCTGTGATGACGAGGCGCTTTTCGCCAATCTTGACCAAGGGGACAAGGGCCTCCTGATAGTGCAGGTAAGTGAGGTTTTACATGTCTCTCTCTATGTTCATGCAGGACTTCGCCTACGCCATTACGTGTGCTCGTGCCTGGGCTTATGGTATGGCGATTCCTCCCGCGCCGAAGGTTCGGGCTGCTCAGTAGCTACGCTCTATCTAGTTATTCTCATGTTCTCTGTTATGCTCGTTGTGCGGACGTTGTTATAGACGCGGAAAGGATGTTGCGTTGAGTACCCTGATCGTAATCATAATACAGAGATACAGTATCATTCCTGCTTGGGATCGAGTGATTCCCGTGGCAGCCGGAATTATAAGGGTGAAGCTAGAAAGAAAACGAGTAAAAGACACAGTCCCACAAACACGTAGGGTGAACTCACAAATGATTCCTCTCAGTAGTTGTCAAGCGTGTGCACGTCATGGTTGGTAGATGTGACGTTTGTACAGCCCTATAAAAAAATCCTCATAACTAGATGAGGAATTCTCATGACGTTTGTACAGCCCTATAAAAAAATCCTCATAACTAGATGAGGAATTCTCACATGAGGAGGGAACTCACAGGCTTCGACTCACAGGGGAAAAATCGAGCCTCTTCTAGAAACTCCCCCCGATACGGAGATCATGGATGTCTCGGTGGCATACTGAGCACAACAGGCGATTGGCTTGGATACAAGGGCTGATTGAATGCGAGCTTTCAGAGACAAAGCGTGTAAAAGCTCGTGCGAATGGGAAAGGTAAATATTACGACTTCTCGAAAATTAATCGCGACACTCCACACAGGGAGGGGCGCGCCTCAACGTCTGCATGAATAGAGAGGATAAATGCCAAGGTCAAAGCCGCTCAGGTTGACCCGTATGGCCCCGTCGAATGTCAAGTTGGTGAGTATCGGGGGGGCGAATGGCGCGGCAATGTTACTGGCCAGGGCTAGCAGCTTGGTGATGTCTGTGAGCTTGAATTCGCCGGTTGATGGAATGTACTCGTAAGGAACGCCGGTCTTACTCCCCCAAGCTCTAGGACCATGACGAGGACGATACGAAGCTCTGATGTCGAAGGTTCTCGAGCTTGTTATGGTGAGGTTGACCGAGCCATTGCCGAATTCGGTGTGAGGAGCCGCACAGTAGCTACCAGATGGCGCAGCACTCAGTAGAACGCTCGTTGCTAGGAGACCGGTAACGACAGAGATAATGGCCATTAAAAAGGATTTCATACCTGATGCGATGGGATAAGGAACAAGTTAGCCATCGTTACTCTTAAATAGGCGAGGGGCAAAGTGAAGAGACGGTTGTTGTGATATTGCTATGCCTCCATAGATTCTGCGACGCATATACCGTTATAGGTTGTACTGCGCCACTTGTGCGCACGTGAATGATCTATTTACCACAGCTTTTCCTTATTGCCGTGTACGCAAGTACAATACTGCCTCTCGGCTCAACTGTGCTGTTGTGTTAAGCACAGTTTTACGGGCCTCTAGAACAACGGTAAAGAGGCGAAAGAACATGAGCTAGGTAGTCTATGCAGTTAACGTACATGTATTGTAGTAGAGCGTTTTTAATACCTATTAATGGCCCTGCTGAAGAGCGTGAGTGATAGGGGTGACATGTCACTAGCAGAGATAAACCGCTATCACAAGGTAAAGCTGCTATTCCAAACTTGAACGGGGAGCAGCTGGCGTCCTTCGCGTGGCAGTTGCTATGCAGTTCAACGCAACACTACTTGATTCCAAGTTTTTTCTTTTCAGGCTCCAAGGATTCCATTGTTTTCATGGACGAAGCGCAGGCTTACTTCCCACGTACTGCGCAGTGCATTGCGAACCACAAGCAGTGACTGAACGACAACAACATAATGTTGTCAACATTACTAGAGGATCTTTGAGAGCAAGCGTTCCACAGAACGCTGCGTTTCTTGTAGTCCTCCGAGTTCATAGTGCTCTGCCATGGCCTGCTAACTTTCTTTGTGTGTCTACGTTTACGTGCCAACCTACACGTGTCTCATCATCGCGATTCGCGATTGTCCGAGGTAGACAACAGTAATGGAATGGAGTGCAGGAGGGAGGTTCTTTAATCGAGGCTCAAAGATCCTATATCAGAGAACGTTCACTCATGATGTTACCCAGAGAGTTATTTCTGGGGTGCGATACAATCGAACGCCGAGTCTCCGCGTGAATGAGTGTTGCTGAACGCGGATTAGGTATGTTACATTAGCGGTGGCACGCAAGTACAATATAGACGATGCATTAACATTCTGTTGATCCCTTTGTTGTCTCCGCTTCCATAAGCACAATTACTAAGTGTTGGGTTGACTATGAGGGCGATCAGTGGCAACATGAGGACAGCCCCTACAGTGAGCCCCCAAATGACGCCTTTTTGGATGATATCAGAGTGTAAAGAAAGCATCTATTTGAAGTATTGTAATTGGACTATTTTCCCCAAGGAGCTTTTTGAAGTGCCTGACCTGGTCGGGCAGTTTGTGAGGCTAAATATCACTTACCTGATCTGCGTCCCTAGGACGATTTCGACAACAAACGAATGTCTGCAGCAGTCTCATTTTCTCCACTCTTTGAAAATACAGACTACTCCGGTTTCAGAGGCAGTCGAGAGATTACATCTATGATTTCGACTGATTATGATATCGAATCCGACTGCTTATGCATGATTTCCCAGAATTTATCGATCGTAGCTGTTCCTTATCTCCGCCACGAGATGTAAACGAGACATGACACTCGACACGATGTATAATTAAGCCCTTGGAGAGCTTCCCGACAACGTCCAGTTGGGCAACTATCCACGTCAGTCATCCTGTTACATATATTTCCTGCTTCAGCAGCCACTATATTGATAACATAGGTGCTTCTGGAACAGGAAATACATGTTATGATTATGTTAACATAATGTTATGTTCCAGAGATATTCCAGAGGTATTCTCTGCCACTGAGTATGCGCAACAACATGATATGGTAACGCCGCTATATCAATAACAGAACGAAACATAAAAACAGAGTTACTCTTTGAACGATCAAACGTGAATCGCCTTCCCGAAGGCAGTGATCATCGATGCCTCGCGGACCGCCTCCGATAAGGTCGGGTGTGCAAAGCATGTACCTGCGACAAGTTGAACACTGAGACGAGATGAGAGCCTCTGGATGCCTTACGGGCCACATCCTCACTCGATGCACCATAGTTGATCGCCAAGACAAAAGGATGGATGAGCTCACCTAATAAGACGACGAACTGCGATACACCAAGAAGAACAGTAATCTACCTGCCGAAGCTTGCACGATACAGGCCCCTAATAGTTTGTCATCTTTCTTCTGTGATATCACTTTAACGAAGCCTTCAGTCGAGTCGACGCATTTTGCTCGACCAGATGCAGCGAAGGGAAATACTCCAACTTTGTAATCGATTCCCGCCTTCTTGCAATCTGCCTCAGTCTTGCCGACCCAAGCGATTTCGGGATGAGTGTAAACCACCGATGGTATGCTGTCGTAATTGATGTGGCTCGAGTCTTTGCCTGAGGCCATTGACGGTTGCCGCACCTCCGAGAAGTGTATTATTCACCTTTTTTTAACTCAGCATTGATTCTCTCAGCAACTGCAAAGCCTTCATCTTCTGCCTTGTGTGCCAGCATGGGCCCTCGTACAACGTCACCAATTGCCCAGATATTTGGCACGTTCGTCCGTAGACTACCAGGGCATACCTCACGTACCCCAGAGACGTCTCACCTCTCATCGACTTCGATCATGCCCGTTCGAGCGTCCGTGATGACTCCGGCGCGATCCAACCCGAGCCCTTCGGTGTAAGGGCGCCGTCCAACCGCTACTAAAACCTGCAGTATCGATTCCAGAGCGCGGTCATGGGCTACTCATTCAGTCACCTTCTGGACCTCTAGCGTGCCCTTGTCGGTGCCGTCAGCTCCCTTCAGAGTGAGTTCAGCACGACCATTCTTCACTCGGCCGATGTCACCCCCGTGGCGACGTGAAAGTTCATTTTCTCATGCCTTTGTAAAGACTTCTGTAGAGCTTGGGATACGTCCAGATCGGCTGTTGGGAGGATATGCGGCATGTACTCAACAACGGTGACCTGAAAAAGCCATTTCAAAATGCGAGGTCCGATGGTGACACTGTACTTTAGTGCCCAACCGGGCCCATACTGAGCCCAGCTCGAGGCCGATCACTCCACCACCAATCACCGCCATTGACTCAGGTACCTGCGAGCATATGAAGGCCCTGGACTCCAACAATTATCAAGACGATACGGACCTCTGGGAACTCCAAGGCTTCAGTGCTTGTCACAATGACATCACCGTCAATCTTGAGGAAAGGTAGCGAGGAGGAGTCGGAACCTGTATGCACAGTGGTAGACCAATCCTGGTGCGAGGTGGCTCACCCGTAGCTACCACGTAGTGCTTTGCCTCAATAGACTCGCTAGCTCCATCGGTAATGTCGACCTCCAAAGTGTTGGCATTCGTAAAGCGTCCGAGGCCGTGGAATTGTGTAACCTGAGCACGCACCGTCACGACTATTTTGCTCTAGATCCAGATGCATGTCCAGGGTGACTGGTGACACCAAGGGAGGGAGGGGGGATCGGACACTACCCCATTCTTGTCCATGAGACCCTTGACGCCTTTAGTGAGCATTTGGACTGTTCGGGTCCGGTGTCGATGCATGGCAGTCAAGTCAGCAGCAGCCGATGACGAATCAATTTTCACTCCAATTTTCTTCAAAGTGCTGCCGCTCTAAGGGGAGCACCAAGGCTGATCACAGGGTGGACTAATAGCATCACTTTCAGAGCGGAGTATTCATGAGATGAATGGAGGAGACACTTCGAGGGAATACAGCCTATGTTCAGGCAGGTACCCCCGAGCGCGGACCTCTTCTCGACGATAGCGGTCTTCAAACCGAGTTGGGCTGCCTGACACGTCGGAGGATGGTGAAGGGAAGGAGTTAGCGGTTACCTTGATGGCGCTGACATACCCACCGGGGCCTCCTCCTATGACGGCAACATCGAAAGCATGAGAGGCCGTGGAGAAGAGTCGAGCACTGCTGAGGCCCCGCAGAGAGTTGAGCCCAAAGAAGGGCGAACCGACCATTAACGCAAATGGGAAAACTTCCTGACGATTAGTGAGGATTCCAACAATATGATACTACCGAACGGAAGTTTTTACCATTTTACCGTTTTTTTTAATTTTTTACCGAAAAATTCAACTTTTTACAGTTTTGAATAACGTTTTACCCCATCATATAATGCTTCACTCTCTTGGTTGATATTTTACCCGTAGCTTTAGTGGAATACCAAACTAATATCCTTACGACTCTATTTGAGAGTTTTCAATTCAACTCAACCAAAGACGCGCTGAACGATTTTGCCCGAGTGCAGAACTAGCATTGTAGTATTGGAATTCCTAGCGTCCACATGAGGGAAAACTTCAATGTTGCATATTATTCTCAGCTCATCCACAGCAACGCTACTATACTTCAGCTGTGATAAAAGAGAGGAAAAACCTTGAGTGGACAGCCATGCATGGGCCTTCATAACTTATCCCATCACCCCCAGGTAGAGGCCCTGCCCTTAACAAACACCACAGCGACTACAACGGCAGTACACGTTGACGTAATCGAGGAAGCAACAACGCTGGTAGTGAGGAGAAGGAAGGGGGGTTAAGTATTGACGTTAAAACGGTAGCCGCATTTCTGGCATTCGTAGAACACCGTCTGGCCCTCATCGGCGCTCCTCAACTGCTGAGTCCAGAAGGCCATACGAGGATTCTTGCACTTCGGGCACTCCTCATCCACCTTAGAACGATACCGATGAGCAGCAGCCTTGGAGCCTGACGTCAAGGAATCTTACTAAAGCCATCTTTTTATCGTCCTTTTTCTCCTTGCCCTCCTCCTCATCAATGATGTTCTTCATCCACACCTTCATCTCACCATAGTCCAACACGGCATGGGACTCCATCAGCGGTCCAGTGGCGAATCCTGATGCGACTCATACCACTCCTTGGCGAGATCCTAGAGCTTACGATCCCGCTTAGCCCCACATCTAGAGCAGACCGAGTACTGACCCCGCTGTCTTTGGTCGTAGAAAGAACCACAGTCTGAGATTATCCATGATATCAACAACTCTCATACGACTACTATTCCCGTACATCCACAGAACATATTCTCGTATTTGAAGTACTCCTCCTTAGAAACCTTAGCCCACTCAGGCAACTCTGATTCGTCAGCGCACAGCTCCATCTGAACACCACGATCGATGACCCCTCGCGCTGAGAGCCGAAGGGAGCAGTAATGAGAAACATGATCGCTTTGCTCAACTGAGCTCAGAAATTTCCTCACTTATATACAAGTTTATATGTGAATTCGAGTAGAAGTGTTCAATAACCAACGAGAAAATTTCCTCGAAATTTTCATAATGCTACCAACACATGTGGTCGACCATGTACATATTTCCCAACACTGAAAGGGAGAGACCTTGCTATTACATCTTTCTCAGAAGAATCCTTTTCAGCGGGGTCTTTATACCCCAGAGGCTTCCTCTTCAGCCACTCACTAGATGTGACTGCAGGGACGAGGGGACCGAAGGGCCCATGAGGACGGAATGAGGACATCCCAACAACAAGAAGAACAAGCCTAAACAACAGCAACAACTCCCTAATTCCGTAACAGGCAAACGCAGAGTTATCAAGGGAGAAACCAAGGCAGTGTGAAGTCGTCAATCGGCGCGGCTTTCCTCTGCGAAGAACTTCGCTGCCCCCATCGCCATCTTCAATGTCCGGTCCGACACGTCATGGTCTCCTTCCACACTGCAGCGAGAGGGCATATAAATACACCACCAAATGCCGAACTTACGTTCCCCATTTGCCTCTATTATCCAACTCCTCCAAAACCGAAGCCCTACATGCCTGGCACATGACCAGCATTCGCCTATTCTCATGCAACAGATGATAGTACCTCCTCTAGAGAGGTATTTCCGAGGTAGTAGTTAAGGGCGATCACAACAGACTTCGCCGTTCTGCTCATCTCATCAAAGGCTGTGAGCTCCCACGGGGTAAGTGTACTCAAATACGCTCTCAGTGCCGCGTCCTATACAGCCGTCCGTTAATCGAATAACGAAGCTCTTACTAGTACCGCTCCCTCTGAGTGTTTCGGCAGTGATATGCCCCTACATGAGGCTATCTTGCAGTCGAATTCCTTGGACACGAAACTGAGCCCACGGTGACTGATAACGTCAGGAAAGGTGTCACCTCCTGTATTCGACCCACTCAGGGTATTCCCCATAGCAAGTGAGGTCGGTGTTCAAGTAGTGGAGATTCCTCTCAACCACTGTGCTCATATCCTTCGCTGTCAAATCAATAGTCGTCGCTGCCAACGCCATCAACGGCATGAAGCTACCAAGCCTCACTACAACCAACCGTACTGTCTTCACTTACTGTGGCCGTATGAACTTGTCCTGCTCGGCCCACTCCTCTGCTACTGCAAAGGCGAGCCCCTCCGAAGGGAGTGCCAGTCGGTGCTTAGCTGGAGTCGACAATCGTCTGAGGCCACACAGTCTTTCCAGTCTTCTCACTAGCCACGGTCCTACTTGCCGTCCAAAAGGACCGTCCATCCTCCTCCCTCCTCAATGCCATTCCGCGCTACCTTCACCACATCATAAAAACGCTTATGCGCCCTCGCAGTGTTGCTAGGCAGGGCAGCCAGAAGCCGATGACTCTGCCGAAGGGACATCGAAGGGACAGCAACTCACACACAGAGGATAACATAGCGACACTCCTAAGAACACAAGGGCAAGTCAATCACCACCAACGCCGAGACTCGGCTGACGTAAGGCAAACCACTGAGGTGACAGCTAAGGCGGTGAAAAAGATACCAGCTACCGCGTACTTAATACCTCCGTCCCACTTTACATTGCAGAGGGAGGCTTTGCTAATAGACTTTGAAAAACTATAAATCATACAAGCGGTTCAGAATCGATGGACCGAGTCAGAGTGAAGGGCTGTCTACAGACCAAAGAAGGTAGCGATGCTCCTCCAAAGTCGTGAAGGAGGAGGCGGCGATCGGCAGGGACGGACAGCAAGGGCCTGGTGCCTGGCCTCAGCACAGCTGCGGACGATGGGCGGAGGGGAACGCCCACATACTGCCCTCTCAACTACATGAGAAACTGTAGGGACCACACTACTGGATGAGTACCAATTTAGTATCTGAAGACCACCGTAGAAACCTATCATTCTCATGCTTCGACAATACCGTTTAAAGCGGTGTGGGAATATTTGTTTGGTTTCCTAAATTGAGCTCCTGTGTAAGTTTCCTCACTACATTTTGAAAATCCATACATGATTTCGGGTAAAAGTATACAAAAACCAACGACTATTTACTCGAGTTTTACCAACACATGTAGTAACTACATGTGTTGGTGAAAATACGGAAACTATGAGGAAACCTCGTAGTTGACCATGCGCATATATTCGCACGCTGGCTCAAAGAGGTGAGCAAATGACCTCAACATGTGTTTACCTCTTCGCACTCCCGACACTCCAGTTTATCAACTCCAACTTCACAACAGGCTAGGCGTTCTGGTGTCCATCCACTACGGGACCAGAGGCAAGTAAGATAGCTCTCACGTAGTCTCTCTACTGGTGCTGACCCTAGACCCCTACATACACATATAGCAGAGGCTTCTTCGTTAGCGCAGAATATTGGGTAGCTCGGGAAACTAAAAAGAACACAACAATACGCCCCGACCAATGCACTTCAACAAGACCGGAGAGGACCTTCCAACAGAGGAGTTGTACCCCCGCTTTATTGTTATTGACTGATTCGAAAAGAAGCGCTCCACCAGTGTGGAGAAATATGCACATGGCCAACTACAATATAGAAATCAAGTAAAAATTTTGCGAAATTATTGTTAGCTTCTGAACATTTCTATTCTGATTCGTATATAAACTCCTATAATTAGTGAGGAAACTCCTGAGCTCAGCTGAGGAAAGCGAACATATATTCCAACACTGCTCTTCACTCGAGATAGTAAAGACATACTCATGTAGCACACTATAACTCTGAATACCATTCCTCCCACTACTTACAGTCTGCGGCGTAGCTGATATAAACGGTAGGGGTCCATGCCCCAGCCATGACTCGGGTTAAAGGAAACATCAAAAAGTTGTAGGTCGTCGAGGAATGATAGTACAAATAGAGCACAGATAAGGTCCTGAACAGGAGGAACGAATTGGAAAAGGAGTGGTATGGCAACCACGGTCACGTCCGAGCGCCATCACCTCATCATTGTCTGTAGTAGCTCCTGTCAAAGAACACCAACGCAGATTCGCTGCAGCCTCAAGAACGTTCCGTAGCGAGCGGGAAGGTACATGGCAAACGCCTAAGAAGCAGCCTCCAACACGCCACCCCTCCCCCCAGCCTACCCCTTCGGGCCGAATTGAGCTGTATCTCTCTTAGACAAGTCATCCCAGGCGGAAACTCCAGCTCGGAACAGCGGCATTCTCTTGCAGCAGACAGTCTTATCTCCTTCAATGATGTCTTCAGCAATGGCTGCACCATCTCAAAATCGTCGATCTGATAATGGAGTTTCACAGCCCGTTTTACGTGAAGTGGCGAAAAACGCGATATTCACACCATGCAGTAGTCGTGAAATATGTTTTCCACTAGTGTTTTCCATATCACGGGTAAACTTCAATAAATATCATTCATTGACCAATAGCTACAACCCTGCTTACGTTCTCCATCTTCAGCTCCTCCAAACAGCACTCTCTCAGTACAGGCAATAACGGGTTAATATCAACATTCCCGCAGTTCACTTCCAGCCGTCGTAACGACCTCGTGATTGGTGACCTCAACAGGGCGTGACGCAGTGGCTGTTCTGGCTGAGCCTCTAGACGTAAACTCCATAGCATAGGACTTAAATAGCGTCCAGCACAGCAAAGACGACCACACGTAGCAGGGGTAGCTATCAGATGCATAGTCCAGAAGCACTGCTGATTACATCGTCCTGACAGAAACTGCATACAATTCTTCTTATGGGGATGATCCCTATCCGATCAAAAAAATGAACGGCCGAAAGTTATAAAATGAAAACCATGTGTGAGTGAGAAAGAACGGTACTCAACACCTACCGTATTAACCCGCCATATTGCTCCGGCAAGTCGTATACCATGCATGGTGATCCTGTTAAGTACTCGAGAGAGTATCGTGGTATTATACCTAGGCTCAGTGAGAGCCTATTCACTGCTGGGCAAAGCTCAGTCAAAGACGTAGGTGGGAGTGATGTAATTGCTTCGTCCGAGAATCCTGTTCCGTGTCCATGCAAGACTTGTGTCGACAGCTCGCCAGCCCTAAACGTCATCGTTGTATAAAAACCAACTGATGTGTTACATAATGCTGAGTGAACGTTGAGGGTGCCCTGCCTGGGTGACATGCTCTTGAGTATTTGTTCCGGAGCATAGTTCGAATCTTTGGTCCTGGGCATGTTTTGAATCTTTGGTCCTGGGCATGTTTTGAATCTTTGGTCCTGGGCATGTTTTGAATCTTTGGTCCTGGGCAAGTTTCGAATTTTTCCTTCTCTCAGCTGAGGGTGTGGATGTCGTACCTCGAGATCTACAACGAGCACCTCAGAGATCTTCTAGCTGTGGAAGACGAGTAGCCTCTTTCTGCAACTGCCTCGAAAAGGCCTTTCTTGTCTCCTTCAGTAATCGAGACCTCACCGTTATGGAGCATCCGGGCTTGGGGGTCTACGTCAGAGATCTCACAGAGATTCTGCTGCAGACTCCGGTGGAACTCGAAAAGCTACTCCAGCGTACGTTCACGAGAAGAACCGATTGAGGCGATTCACCGCTTGGTCAGTTGGTAGCAGACGCCGGGCGGAGTCGGTCACTTGCATGAACCCGCACTCGAGTCGTAGCCACGCAGTTTGCAGGATTCGCTTGGAGGTGGCTTCTACACCAGAGCTTACAGAAAGCTAAAGTCGTTCATCTCAGTGTCGTCCGTCAGAGGACGGGCCTAAGCTGCGCTCATGCATTAATTTAATCGATCTAGCAGGCAGTGAAAGACAACAGAAAACCAACAGTACGGGCTCCGTACTGAGGTAAGACTCCTCGGAATCCCACTGTGGGATTCCCACAGCAGTTGAGGTTAACATTTAGAGAGGCGAACTCGATAAATCAGAGCTTGAGCACACTGGGTATGGTCATAAAGCATTTGACGGAGCGCGGCCCTGGTGCCTCCAGCAAAGGTGGGATATCTAGTCGTCCTTTCTCTAGGGAGCAAACATTCTTTAATAAGGTTCGCATAGTGCTGCTGCATCGTCGTGGATTCCATTTCGCTCTTCCAAGCTGACCTTCCTCCTTAAGGATTCTCTCGCGGGCAACTCCAAGACCTTCATGATAGCCTGCATAAGCCCATCACGGTAAGGAGCTCACCTGGCTGGGTCAGTAGTGGGTCCGATAGGACTGAGCTCGACGAGAGCGTCTCCACTCTGCGCTTCGCTGCTGCCGTACAGGAGGTACGGGTCCCCGCCAAGGTCAACATCGACAGGAACGAACAGCTGCTCAAGGATTTGCAGCAAGAGGTGACAATTGCGTAGCGCGTGACGAAGTACCATTTGCCTCGACAGATCGGTAGCTTACGCCGCCAGTTGCAGTCACAGGAGTCTAAGAGCTTGTCATCCGAGGTGGCGATGTTGAATGAAGAGTTACAGGAGAGAGAGCGGCTCGTGACTGACCTCAGGAGGAGTCACGAGAGCCAAGTGAGTTGAACACTTCCTGCCCACTATAACCAAATACCAGTTTCCTCTCAGCTGGCAGCGTCCAAGGAAATGTTGCGACTGCGTGAATCGGCCCTAGCTGACAGAGGCCTCTCCTCATCTGAGATCAATGCCGTCTTCGGTGTTGGTGATGACACACCGTACATGCTCAATGTGTCACAGGACCCGATGCTGTCGGCCTCTCTCATCTACTACTTCCAGCCCGACACTGTAAGACCCCCCTGCGGTGAATTGTCCATAGGCCGACTCTCTTGGTCAGGTTACTGTTATAGGAAGCTCTTCTGCTGAGTGTCAGATGGTCCTCAAGGGTATCGGCATGCCCCCTTCACTTTGCCAAGTGGTCAATCATGCCAATCAGAGGCTCACCATAGCACTAACGGCCAGCGGGGTCGAGGCGGGAGGCCGAGTCCTCGTCAACGGCAAAGTGGACCTCCTACTATAAGGGATCCTTAAATGGGGCTCGAGTCAGGTCCTTCGTCCTGAGGACCCACCACGACGTTTACGCCACCTCGACAGGGTCATATTCGGCCGCGTCCACTGCATGAATTTCATACTCCCGAACTCACCAGAAGCGAATAAGGCCAGCCGGGCGGTGGCGGACCGAGCGAGCATACTGGGTTCTTTCAGACTGAGAATGCTGATGCCCAAGGTGCTCGATTCGATGATTTCGCCAGGGAGATGATCCACGATGACTCCAGTGAGGCCTTCCAGGTGAGTTTCAGTACGACAAGCCGCAGTACTGCATACTGTAGGAGCTCCGTTACTACATTGAGGAGGTCAGGAACAAGCTGGATGAGGAGCGGATGGAAGAGTT